AAACAGTTGTTAGGAAAGCAGGCTGTCACTCAGCCTGCTAAAGACTAGCTTGATACAAAATGTTAATCGAAAGTTACAATATATTTTATAATATAGCAATATATTTCATATTTAAAATAAACTGTTATGCTTTCTCCTATCATTAAAAAATAGCAAGCAGTACAGAGGCAAGATGCAAATTCATACTGAAGCCCATCTCGTTTGGAATATAAACACTTCCATTTCTGAGTTTGCTATGAAAATGGCTCCGCCATCAACATCCTATCGCTCGCTTTTGTTGTTCTCGTGTGGCCAGCACAGGATGGAGAGTCTGGGACTAAACCCATTACGTGGTTGCGCCGATTAACTCCACGTATGATGAAGGTGGATCAGCCCTGGTCGGGATCCGAAAACTGATAGCGCTGGAGAATGGCGGTTAGCCCCGTCCTCGCTCTGGGAAGCTGGATGTCGGCTGCTCCGTCAGATTGGTTTTTGTTTTTCATTTGCCACTGTTCCTATTTATTTTTTATTTCATTTATTTTGCCGGAAATGTCAGCATTTCTTTGGGATCTTATCTAGAGGTTGGTATTGAATTTTGTGCTTTTCCTCCACCAGCTTGATTGGTCACAAGGTCCCTTTTCAGTCCAGGCCCGAGGTCACAGCTTCCAGAATACGTTTCTCGGTGTGTAAACAACTGTGGCAGGGCACGTGGCACCTGGTTTGGAGGTGGTCTGTTGAAGATTTGACATGTTGTTCAGAGGGAACTCCAGTTCACGTTTGAGTGCTTCCAGTAATGGCGTAAGACAAAAAGATCGCAGTTACGGTCCCCTCTGTGGCTGTCTATTGGCTGCAGCACAGGGCACTTGTTAATAAGATGTGGCCTAATTCAATAAAAATCTATGTATTCCTTGTCTGCCAGGATTAACTGTCAGCGACTATTCATGCAGCAGCTTCCTGCTACCACAAGTGGACACTACTGCTACCCCTCCGTCCCCCCGTCTTAGGGCTAGCTACAATCCCATTCCCCCGATGTTTGCTTTGGCAGTAGTAGAGAAGGAAGGGATCCTATCCAAGGCATGATCAAGTCAACTGACTAAAGGGTAGAGAGGGGACTGTTCATGGCTGCCAGGAAGCCTGCAGATAGCTGTCTACGGGACTGAAACCAAAGGCCATGGAGTCAACAGGGACAGCAAAATGACCACGAATGGATCCTTAATCTGCGTCTAGAAGTTTGGGGCAGTGGAGTGACTGCATGAGAAGGGGCCTGTCTGAGCACGTCAGAGCAGTAGCCGAGGAAGCAGGAACCTGCTGGCAGTGCAGTGACGTCACAGGGTCGCCATGGGCTTCTCCGCAGCAGCCAGGCTGCCTGTTTTGAGATGAAACACTGACTCAGCTTTGTGTCCACTGTTTGTCACACTCCGGAGGAGGGGGGCTTCCAGAACTATGCACACACCCCATATCCCTACACTCAGATAGAACGTCTAGGTGTGGATTAGCCGGTCAGCACTGCCGTGCTGACCGCAGTGGCCTCACTTCTCCTCTACCAAATATACACAAGCCGAGACCTACTGGCCAGGTACGCGACTCCAGTCTCAGCGTTTTCTCTATTCTGATTTTGTATGTATCCCCAGCTTTCTTCTTCCCATGACTTCTTTGCAAGGAGATTACTGCAAAGTGAAGGGGAAGACCTCTGAATATATTAAAATCATCATTTTTCAATGCCCTTTCTTGGCCTTTAATAACTTGCTAAGCACTTGAGAACTAAGTTTCATGTACAATTTCTACATCTAATTTACAAGATTGTTGTTACATACAGCACTGGACCCTACTGGGGTCACAGTCGCTGGTGACTCATGGCTATGCCCCTTGCATTCTTTTGGATCATATCAAGACATGATGTCATGGAGTTAGACATTATGACGGTTGTAAAAATGGCTCTCAGACACTTAATGACAATTTAGTGATAATGATCGCATGCGTGGCCTTTGAGCCAAAGGTGCGGATTTTTATTTGGACTTCAATCTAAGGAGAAATGGGCTTCTAGCCGGGTGTAAATTACCAGCTGACGCTATGTCCTGAATCCCACTGAGCTCAGTGGTCTTGGAGTATCACAGTACATCCCTGACTTCACAGTACATGAAGCTATAATATGGCTTAAGCAATGAGAGGGTGGCTCTAGGTTTTAATTCAAGTGTCCAGATATTTGGGGGAAATATTGGAGTGCTTCCATATGCTACTACATTCCTAAAAAATGACAGGAAGTCCTCTGCCATTGGCCAGCCTTCCAGGAGTGGGTGGAATTCGACCGGTTCAGGGCTAGAGTAACATTACAGTAATTCATGGTTTGAATACGCAGCCCGCTCTTGAGACTCAAACTTGTCCCAGTGACATACAGCCATAGGGTCTGCTAGCCTCCTTCCCTACCGTCGGAGATGCTCGGGTGATGTGGGATCAGCCGAAAGATGCGGGAATATATCTGCGTGAGTTATAACCAGGATCCCCGATGCCTAGGCCTTGGAGGGCTGATTGTATTTGCAAGAGAAGTATTACTTCCCGTGTCGAGCTGAAATACTAGGACAGAGAAGCAGCCGTTCATTTGCCGCTGCAGAACCAACCTTCAGAACCTGTCACTTTTTACGAGGTATATTCTTTTGCTAGAGATAAAACCCCACACAGTTACTGCACTTCCAATAGGCCAGGCTACCCTACAAACACGCCCACACGTCTCTCCAAAGCTAGTGGTACCCTCCTGGAAACAACTCTAGCCATTCTCTTGATTAGCATTGCCAGCTTAGTCTCCAAGGTTTACTTAGCAAGAGACAACAAAGCGACAGATTTCAGACTATGTCCAGACCAGGATGGATACAAGGCAGGAGAGGCAGGGGAATCTCGCAAGTCATTTGTGTGAAATGGAGACTAAATCTCTAGCTGTACCATGCATCCCCGCCCAGCACAGGATCACAGCAGGATGCAAGGGGAGAGCAAAGAAAACCAGTCCAGGGCTCTAGGCCAAGTGAGCAGGAAGTGGGCCCATCAGTAGCAACCAAGGCTACAGGGGAGCCGCATGGCTGTTTCATCTGTTTGTATACGTGCCTGTAGGTTTGGTTAAACGGAAAACAGCAGTATCATTCTTGGGATAAAAATAATCTTTCAGATAATTAATAATTAAAAGAACAAGTAGAAAGAATTAAACACTAACGACAAATGTGGCCTCTCTGGTGTACAAAACAGCTAATGAAAATGCTCAGGGGAGAGATGAAGACAGAGGCCATTAAGAAGATAGGCCATTAAGACACCAGCAGCAGGCTGGGTGTGGGTGAGGGGAACTGCACTTGCCTAGCATGCATGAGGCCGCAGGTCTGGTCTCCAGCACTGCAAAGCAAAGCACAAGACAGCAAGACAGTACGACGAACAAGAGACTGAGCAAAAACACCGAGTGACCTCCACGCCACAGTTGTCTACCTTAATATCCAGCAATCCCTGTCCTCACAGGACCAGGCCCAGCATTGCACAAGAAAAACCCACACAGTAAGGCAGTGCCTCCAGGGTGGCCGTGATAGCCGCTCACAGGGCTATTCTCAAGATGGCAAACAAACACAGATGACACCTCTTGTTCTACCAAAGACAGATGGATTATCTCATACATGACTTCTCACAAGCAGAAATCAAAGACCTCAGAATGGGAAAAGTGATGATTGGCAGTTCTCACCTCCCAGAGGCCGTGTCTGGTCAGACCACAGGGCAGTGAAGCAAGCCAAGCGCCTATCCCTAGCCTGGATCTGCATGGTTCTGGAGTCTGTGGACTTTGAGATTCAGTGGAGTAGTTTTCGCCGCAAGATGAACATGACAGAACAGAAAGAGGCTTCTAACAAATGAACTCCTCTTGTTACGCATGTCCTGGGGCTCCCTTTGCTCTCACAGTGCCTCATTTTGAGGTGTGTTCAGGTAAGGTAGAGGGGACCACAGGAACACTCTCCGTCCTTCTCCCAACTCAGCAACTGACCCTTTCACGCTCCTACATTTGGGTGATGATACCTCAACAAAGCCCAGACAACGGTTCTGTTCACTACGGTGGCATTGGGCACACTCTCCTCTCCCACATACAAACTCCTGAGAGCGCAGGGTCCACCAGACACAGCTTATTTGGCTGGAAGAAAACTCCTGGAAGCCGTTATTTTTAGACATCTGCTTATCTCTCCAGAATGCCAACAGTTTGGGGATGACATACACTGGAATCAGGCAGGGTGTGTGTTAGGACATGGTGAAGGAGGAACCTGAATCTTCAGGGACGTAGAATGTGGCCAGTACCTGCTAACTTCTACCAAACACACCTCACACTTCGTCTCAATGCAGATTTAGAGCTCCCTCACCGTGTGCACAGCAAGGAACCAGGTCCCTTTCATTGGGCTCAACTCAAAGAAGAAAGGGCCCAGATGGAACATCTCTGTGTACATGTGTGTTCAATATTATTATTGGATAGAAAATCTGGCTTTTCATTTGTCTATCCCCCCCCCCCAATCTAATTTGGGTATGTTCGTTTTGGAAAGTTCTGGGCATCTCTCTTTTTACTTTTTACCACCCAGGGGCTTCCTTGGACAAAAGGATGGGAGAGAGGTGTGCTAAGTCCAAGGCAGCCAGGAGTTCATTTCCCAAACCTGATACCACCCTTGCCCAGTGCACCCCACTTTGGCTGACTTCACTTTCAGCTGCTTCAGAGTGGCTGCCCCTCCCCACCTCCCTGTGAAAACCTGAGATTGAGTAGGGATTTCTGTTCTCCGCCAGCTCTGCAGCAAGGGCCCCGACCGAGGCGTTGCTTCCAGTCACCTCCTCTTCCAGCTCCCAAGTAGAGGCACCTAAACAGAGATTAGACGTCTGGTTTCAAGGCAAATCGAACCAAGCACGCCGAAAGAACGTGTATTAGCTCATCAGCTCCACTTCTCTTCCTTCCGTTCCCTGGTCTGAAACTTCCTTGATAGCAAAGCGACCAGGAGAGAGTTGATTTGCATCTTAAGACCTATGGGTAATGCTTCTGGAGTGGGGAGTTTTATTTAGCAACTGCTTGAACTTGTGTACGGGGTTGGGAAGGAGGTGGAGCTGATCCCGATGGGGCTGTCAGAGGGAGGTGCGTGGCTAGGTCCCACGGCCACACTGACGCCACGGGCCTCCACGAAGGCAGTGAGCAGCTGCTGCTGTTGCTGGCGCAGGGTGTCTGCGATGAGGAGGGGCAGGGAATTGAAGCTGGCCGTGAGGTGCTCCAGCTTGGTTTCCAGGCTGCCAATCTGCTTCTCTAGGTCTTCACTCCGATCATTGAGCTCCGTGATTAAGTCATACATGACGTTCTGCATCTGGGGGAGTCAGAGTGGAAGACAGAAGGAGACCATCACCACAGAGGAATACGCCGTGGAGAGGTGAACAGCCCCCCACTTTGCAACAGGAGCCACCACCACCCAGCTGTGCCCCATGTCACCAAAGGACAACTCTAGGACTTTCCAGGTGGTAGGCAGGCTAAGGTGGGCACTCTGTTTTTATTATTTTTAGAGGGGTGGGGTATCAATGATCAATTTTATAATTTGTTGTGTTTTGTTCTTTTGACAGAGGGTCTCACTGTGTAACCCTGGAAGACCTGGAACTCAATATGTAGACCAGGCTGGCCTTGAACTCATAGAGCTCCATCTGTCTCTGCCTCCTGAGTGCTAGGATTAAAGACAGGGGTGACCAAGTTCAACTCGATTATCAGTTTGAAACAGTAAATATGCATGGAAGAATGCATATTCCTCTTTTTTCTTACAAGGAACGCAGCTCTAAATGGCTCTGCTGTTCATACAGAGGGCTGGCTCAGGAAAAGGCACTGAGATGGGGGTGGCCAATGCCGTAGACTCACAGTCAAGACGGGGCCTGCAAGCCTTCGGCTCACTAGCAGGCCCCTTAACCTCTCTCACCCTGGCCTCCTCATAAAACGGAAGTTAATAACTACACGTAGCTATGAGATTGCATCCCCTCCCCACCCCCCATTTCTATCCAGCAATTAGAATATAAAATGTAATTAATGCCTCAGGCATGCTCCTGGACCAGAAGGGGCTGCCCTGAGGAGCCACCCTGAGAGGAGATGAAAAGTCCGGGACACCTGGCTGAGGTCTTGGTGATTAGATCACACTTGACTCCTCGGAGCAGTCCTGCCTTCCACAGCCTAGCAAATGATGCCTCGAGGGTGCTCCTGATGGTGTCCTACTCCAGCTCTATCCACAGAGTTCTTTGATCCCCTCATTAGCAGAACTCACGACACCCTGTGGTTCCTGTGCCAGCTGCAGAATCCTAGACTCTACAACACGCAGTCAACATGCACTGGTGCTGGTTCAAACTTGAGAGTAAAACTGAGGAGTCTCACACTCTCAGAGTGAGAAAAAGGGGTTCTGATGGCAGCGTGCCCCTGTGGGGTCCACAGTGGGACCCTAATCTCACTTCACCTGTCATTACTCTAGGATAGCAGTTCTCAACCTGTGGGTTGTGATCCCAGATGTTCACATTATGATCCATAACCCAGCATTAGGAAGGTTGAGAACACTGCTCTAGGAGGATGTGGACGCCACAGTGACCCCAGAGGCCAGAGGAACAGGAAGCAGGGTGAGAGGAGAAAGGCAGGACAGACCCAGGCAGCAGCGGGGTGTGGGGGGGTGGGGGGGTGGGGGGGGGGGGGGGGGGGACAGAAGGGGCGACAGTGAAAGGCAGGAGAGCCCCCACCCCTTGCATGTTTACAGCTCCTGTCTTATCTACTCATCTCCAGGGAAGAAATTGAAGCCACCCTGCTCTGACACCACACATGGGGCCTGTTTGATACAGAAGATGCCATTGGGAGGCCATGTTCTTGTTTGTTTTCGTTTTTGTTTTTTTAAGACACGGTTTCTCTGTAGCTTTGGAGCCGGTCCTAGGATTAGCGCTTGTAGACCAGGCTGGCTTTGAACGCTCTCCACCTGCCTCTGCCTCCCAAGGGCTAGGATTAAAGGCGTGTGCCACCACCGCCACCCGGCAGGAGGCCACATTCTTAATCTAGGGAGGAACAAAGCACAGAGGGGGGAGGAGAGGGGTCAGGAGTTGAAAGACAAAGGGAAGGGAGCAAGCACGAGGCCATCATGCTCTTCCTCCCTTGCCAGTGATTGACGACAGGATGCTGAGCAAATGGAGACCAACGTGAAACATACACAATTGCTGCTAGAATCTAGGCCGGTCTCATGGAAGGAAAAGACAAAGACTAGGTGGACAGCTGTCCAGGGTCCACCTCCTCCTCAGGTCTCACACATGCACGCCCCTCACGATGGCTCTGCACATTCTTTATTCCCATGTACTCCCCTCCCCAGTTATCTATGGCTCAATTTCCCAGTGTAATACAGGAGAGTGTCTTTCTAACTCACTGTGCGTGTGCGTGAGTGCGTGCGTGTATGTGTGCGTGTGTTGGATACATGTGACAGACACTGTGGGTGCCAGTACATGGGTGCAAGCATGTCGAAGCCAGAGCAGGACGTAGAATATCTTTCTCTATTCTTCTCTGCCTTATTCCCTTGAAACAGGGCCTCTCATCAAACCAGAAACTGCTGTCTCTGGCTAAGCTGGAACTGGCCATCCAACTTCACTTTCTCTGCCAACCAGAGCTGACGTTACAGGCACGGGCAGCTCGGCCTGGCTCAGTGTGGGCGTTGGGCATTCAAACTCATGCTTGCACACGAGTGCTCTCACTGCCAAGCCGTCTCTCTCACCCCGCCAACTGGACAGTCCACCTCTGAGAGACTGGGCAGCCCTGCAGGAAGATGAAGGCAAAGCTTGTGTTTACCTGATATTCCTGGGGGAGTATCAGTCACAGGGTGTCCTATTGGTGAGAGGAGAATGGCAAACATTGCCAACTGTTGAAGAAATATTTTGGGGCATCTCACTGAGCCACACCCAAGGCTCACAGAATGGCTCTCAGCTGTCTTTTTCTTCCCAGCCACAGCTGATTTGTCTAAAGGCAGACACGTGACTCACACTGAGCAATCAAATCCCCCCCCCCCTTTGTCAAGACAGGGTTTCTCTGTAGCTTTGGAGCCTACCCTGGAACTAGCTCTTGTAGACCAGGCTGGCCTCGAACTCACAGAGATCCGCCTGCCTCTGCCTCCTGAGTGCTGGGATTAAAGGCCGGTGCCATCCCTGCCCGTACTCACCTCTCTTGAGAATTTAGAATTAAGAACAAAAGAAAGTCAATTAAACCCAGGGTGACCTGGGTTGCAGGGAGATGGAGTGGGGTGGGGGGGGATGCTGGCTCTTTGAACAGCACCTGCAGCAGAGAGGAGCTGGTGTGAGAGAAAGTCTCCTGAGAACCCCTTACTTCCTTGGAATAAATGGCTCCATTTACAATGTACTTCTAGTAGTTTTGGTAACTGAAATCTAGAATATTAACCAACATGTCCAAGGCTTCAGGGGTCCATTCACCTCCTCCCACACTGGGCTCTGGGAAACCCCACATTCCACCTGAATGCCCTTCCCACTAGCATAGGGGTCTGTGGGCATCTCCCCAGCTGTGACTGAAGTCCTCCCAGGCATAGGAGGTCCTTTCTTTGCCTTGATCCCTCCAGAAAGAGGCGCCTGCACATGTCCCAGCAACCAGTAATTTCTGCTTGCAGGCTCTTTTCAAAGGGTGCCTAATTGGCCTGAGGGAGTTTCCTTTGCTTTCCCAGGGAATGAGGGTCCATTACAATTGACATCTGCTGGAATGTTCTGCCAGCCTGGCCCTGGGCTATGCACTTGCTATGTAATTTCTATCAGAAGGCATGGAGGTGGGGGTGGGAGCTCCTGGTCAGACTGCCCACGCTCAGCCCTGCAGTGTTGATTTTCAAGAAGAGAGTCTCTTTGTGCTCTTTATGGCAGTAAAGACAAGAAACACTGAAGAACAGTGCCATATTGAGCCTTAAGATCTCCATGTTCACTGTCAGCTGCCTGCCTGTAGTGAAACACACACACACACACACACACACACACACACACACACACACACACACCATTGCCACCATCAATTTGAGGTCAGGAAAACCTGGGCTGTAAGGATCAGAAGGCACAGGAAAATGAATTTCTATTATAATAACAAATTGAAAAGAACCATCTGAAGTATATATAACCAGGTCATCTGTAGGGCCCTTGTCCATCTGGTCCTCACTAAGGTACTTCCTGTATGTCTTCAGTCATCTTTAGAAAATCCCCGCTGCACAGCTAATAAACACACCAGTAAGAACTGGGTAAGCTAATTAGTTATGAGCAAAGACAAATCTGAGCTACTTAACTTAGAAACAAATACCAAAGACAGAACACACCGGTAGATTACAAATGCAAAGCATGAACCTGGGTGTTTGTTCATCAAAGAGAGCTGTCTTTTCTGTCTTTGCACTGGCTCTGTGGACTTGGGCCAGGCCTGTCCTGGATGCCACTCACCTTGGAAAGGTCCACCAGGGTGTTGGCTTGGTCACTCAGCTTCCTCTGTTCCATCTTGACACCCCTCAGTCTGTGGAGAAGAGTTGGAACAGGTAGTTCAAGTCCACACTAAGCATTAGCCCTTCATTGCACCTGAGCTTGGAACTTCGCACTGGGACCGTGAGCACAGGCAGCAGCTGACACAGCTAGACTTGTCAGGGCCCCGAGAAAGCAAACTCCGTCCCGATTGCCTGCGTCGCTTTCCCTTCCTTGCTGTTCCCAAGCCATTCCACCGCTCCCACACCTTTGTCTGGGTTGTTCTACCACCATGAACGTCTTCGTGACCACCCAGTCTTCCCAAACCTTTGGATCAGAACAATTTTTTTTCTTAGCTTTCTCTGCCCTGTTTATTTATTTACTTATATATTTAGGGGTGGGGAGGCAGAGTCTCAATTTGTAACCCAAACTGACCTCAAACTGAATTTGTAGTCCAGGGTGGCTTTCAATTCATGGTGATCCTCCAGCCTCAGCCTTTTGAGTTTGGGCATTACAGTCATGAACTGCCATACCCAGCTCTTCACTATACTTAAAATAACTTATTCCTTGATTACAAAAGGAACACTGGTTCCTCACTGGAGTTGTAGTGTGTGTGTGTGTATGTGTGTGTGTGTGTGTGTGTGTGTGTGTG